GTGGCCGTGGACGTGGCCCCGCTGAGCCAGGGCGGGCCAGTGGGCGGCAGCGACGTGCGGCACCCCGCTTCCCTCGCCAGCTCGGGCTCCTCCGGGTCTCCCTCCAGCAGCATCAAGATGTCCAGTTCTACCAGCAGCTTGACGTCCAGCAGCAGTTTTTCCGACGGCTTCAAGGGCCCGGGGTCAGAGGCTCGGGTCAAAGACAAGGCCGCTCACCAGGTCCCGAGCGGCACCGCCGAGCACAGACCGCGCAACACTCCGTTCATGGGCATCATGGATAAGACGGCCCGGTTCCAGCAGCAGAGCAACCCTCCGGGCCGCACCTGGCACACGGCCGTGTCCGAGGCGCTGCTGCCGCACACGCCTGCAGCCGGCCCGCAGGCCTCGAACCCGGAGAAGCCGTCCCTCAAGCAGGCAGCGGGGTATCACAGCCAAGCCAAAGCCTGTGCCGTGGCCACCCTGGGGGGCAGCATCCACAACGGGGCCCCCGTGAAGGAGCTGGAAGAAAGGAAGTGCCCGGTGCCAGCCCACTGTCAAGATACCAGGGTCAGCAAGACTGTTGCTCATCTGTACCAGGAAAGCATCGCCAAACAGCAGCCTCACCTCGGCAACGAAGCCCACAGGAGTCACCTTCCCGCGGCCAAGCCAAAGCGCTCATTCATAGAGTCCAATGTGTGAGCTGGAAGAGAGACCTGCTGGGAATTGGGAAAACTGTGTGTTGGCTCTTGGTGGTCATTAAAGTGGTTTTTTGTGTGTGTGGTTTTTTTTTGAGAAAAATTATTTTTCAGCCATATTTTTTTTTCTTTTTTTCCCTTGGGGGTGGATCAGATTTATTTAAAATGTGGGATGAAATTTCTTTGATAAATACCAGAAGTCACCTTCAATAAGAATGCTAACCAGAATTGAAAACTGCAATTAGTTATGCCTATTAAAATTAAACACTTAAGGCAGCCAAATAACTAGTGCTTTTCTCTTAAGAAATTGTTTGGTTTTTATCACTTTTCTCCTAGCCTTCGCTGTGTGATAAGATCATAATATTTCTTAGAGAATATAAATGTCTAGTCCTCTGCTCTATGGGAAAAATCATACCGTTTCTTCGAGAATATAAATGTCTAGTGATAGTTTTAACTCATGACTAAATTGCCAGATAATGTATTCTGGAAAAGATGGAATTTTCTAGTTACAGTTCCATTGAGTCAAATCCCAGTTTATATATCTATATATAAAATTAAGACCCCAGTGATTTCTAGCTGAATGTGTGTGACTATAAATGTTATATACCTGATTTTCTTAAGCAAAATACAGGAACAGCCAAGTATTGTTCCCTTCGTAGCTGTTCCCTGAAGAGGATTAAGCACTTATTTCTGTTATGGTCTTCATTAAACATATTTTTATAGCACCTTTTTTGAGCTATCTTCCCATTTCAAGGTGTTTTAATATTTGGAAACAGTGTAAGCTATCTGGAATCCTGATTGGTGGTCAAGTTGGATTGGGGCTAGAATACTAAGAATATAGCATTCTCGGTGACATAAATTAGCCTTCAACAGGGATAGCACTCCTGCAACAAGCCTTCCGAGGTCCTTTAAGGACAATATTTAATTTGGATCCTTAAAGTCTGGTTCATTGGTTGCTTTTGTTTTATTATACAATCATTATTTTATAGTCACACGTTGCATAAATAGCCAAGTGTATCCAGACATGTATATACTATTTCAAGTAGCTAATCTTTTAAAAAAAATGTCATATATTTGCATGTTCTTTGTAAACATCATCCATGCTGGTTATTGCACTGAACACTATATTATTATGGCATGTTAACAGTGTACCAGTAACGGCACTTTATTTCATTTATATGAACACCTTTGAGGTGCTACTTAAGTTCAAACTGATGTATTATTCGTTTGTAAAGATAAGGTACAGGAATGAACCTTGGATTAAAGGTATTTTTATATGAAAATGGTGTGCTATTGAAGGATGTTAAAATGCTAGTTTGAGAGAGGCGGGAGTGTGTTTGTTTTATACATTGGGATGTGAAATTTATTTTCTAGCATTGGGGAGAAGGAAGTTCTATATTTACAGAATGTTTTAAAAATGAATCGTCGTAATGAAGTTCCTGTGAGCATCCTTATGGTTTTGTACGAATAGGAATCTTCTGGTGTTATTCTGCAACATTTGTTCCTGTTGTATTTTGTACAGCTTTGTTGTTGTTTTATAGGCTTTTCATGAGTTCTGCTATAACTTCTATGGCTTATTTATTGTTTTCTTTAATATTTGTGCGTCTTACTCTTTTGTTATGTAGTTTTGTTTCTGCACAACTACTGTACTTTTCCACATGGAATAAAGACTATTAATAGAATTTGTTTTGCATTACTTTAAAGCAACCATGGGTAAGTAGAAATGTCCTGGTGACAACTATCTGCCTTGCTTTAATCCAGGGTGATCTTGTTACCCTAGAGCAGTGGTCGGCAAACCGTGGCTGGCGAGCCACGTGCAGCTCTTCGGCCCCTTGAGTGTGGCTCTTCCACAAAATACCACGTATGGGTGTACGGACGCGCATGTACAGTGCGATTGAAACTTTGTGGCCCATGCGCAGAAATCAGTTTTTGGTCTGGGCGAGTCTATTTTGAAGAAGTGGCATTAGAAGAAGTGGGGGGTGTCGGTCAGTCGGCGACGGGAGACACGGCACAGGTGGGCCGCGGGATATGCAGCGCGGGGGAGGCGTACAAGATTCATGCACGAGTTGAAATGGAGAGAGTACGCAGATCTGTTCCTGCATAACAAGGTACGTTGGTTATCAAGAGGAAACATTTTGAAACGTTTTGCTTCCTTATTAGCAGAAATTAAAGCATTTCTCCTTGAGAAGGGTGTTCACTATCCAGAACTAAGGAACGATCAGTGGATCCAAAAATTTTATTTCATGGTAGACGTTACGTCTCATCTAAATCAGCTTAATTGTAAACTACAGGGGAAAGGAAACACAATTTTTTCGATGTTAGAAGAAATTATTTAATTCGAAAACAAATGATCTCCTTTTGCTCAAGGTTAGCCTTTGTTAAAAAACCTCTCAATGCGACTGTAACAGAAATAAGCTTTTCTCCCTTTAATATTGACATTGGGAACTTTGAAATGCAATTGCTGGATTTAAAAAAAACAACTGTGGAGCTCGAAATTTGAATGTCTTTGTGCTGATATAGAAATATTGGAGAAAAACAAATGTGAACTTAGTTCACAGCACAAGTGGTCTGCTTTGAAAGACCTGGAGAAGGAAGATGTTGATTTTTAACACCTGGAATAGTATTCCTGACTCATATAATCAACTGAAAAAAAACAAAACTATCGTTTGCTGTTCTTTCCTTATTCGGATTTACATATTTATGCGAACAATCATTTTCAAGCATGAACTTCATCAAGAGTAAATTGAGAAGTCATCTTATTGATGAGAACCTGGAATCGTGCCTAAAATTAAAAACAACATACAAACCTGACTTACCCAAACTTTCCAAGGAGATGCAAGGCCATTGTTCACATTAGTGTTTGTCAGTCATTGCCATGATTTAATTTTATGGATATTGTAAGGTAAATTGTAAGGAATTTAATTTTATCAATAAATATCGTTATTAAGTATGATGTCAAGTTTTATTCAACGTACCTATAGTTTAAAACTTAAAACTTTAAAGTTTATTAAGTTAACCTCAGCGAACGTACCACAACCAGATTGAGGACATTTTTAGCAAAGGCCAGCTTAGGAGTACCCTAATTAAGTTAATAACAATGTACCTACCTATATAGTTTAAGTTTAAAAAATTTGGCTCTCAAATTTCAATCGTTGTACTGTTGATATTTGGCTCTGTTGACTAATGAGTTTGCCGACCACTGCCCTAGAGAAATAGTGAAAAGCCTATTTTCATAGCAATATTACTGAATGCATATTTAATTTCATTTGGTCATAATTTTAAAATAAAGGTGTGATAGCTTCTGGAAATCCACAAATATTCAAGGGTCAAAATTAGTCTTTTTGCCTGAAACAGGGAAGAAGGCATGAAGAAGAGCACTCTGGAATTTTCTTACCTGTTCTTGGTGTGTTTTTACTGCCAACAGGATATCTTTAGTACTGTTACTCTCACACATCTTGGCAAAATGAACACTATTAATATGAAAGTTTGTTCTTCAGCACATTTGTATTCTTTTTCAGTTATAAGTGTATATTTGTCTATACACACATATTTCAGTTTCAAACTAATATGAGAGTCAACATTAAACTGTGTGGTTCTGTAACAAAATCCTGACATAAGCCTAAGTATTCCCCAATAGTACTGCACGTTATTGTCTGGTTACAGCTATTAGAAAAAGGCTAAATATAGTATTTTAAGTCCTTCTTTCAAGGTATATATTTAAACTAAAGGTTAAAAACTGGGTGGGAGGAAAAAGTGTGGATTAATAGATAATTCTTGTTGATGACTTGTGTGAAGCTGCTAGTGTGACTATTAGAATTTATTACATATGACATTATGACTTTGATATATTCTTAGGAAAACTAAGACATTGGGTTCAGTCACACCACAAGAGGCAAAGTCTCCTTGGGAAGCTACAGGTCAGTCCTGAGGCCTGGGCAGCGGGCAGGTGAGTGCTGCTCCGTGTGGTCCTGAGCGAAGGGCGGGGCCTGCCTGGAGAGGGCAGCAGAGGGTTCATGTGGTGTCCGTTCCTGTGGGCGGTGTGGATTTGGTTTGTTTAGTTGTTTGTATGTTTGTGGGGAGGGGGAGTTGTTTGGCTTTGGTTTATGTGTAAGTACTTCATTTGGGAAATGATTGGCATCCTGGGTTTTTTTAGCCAGTTTGTTTAACAAGAAACTACCGGTGAAATGTAGAAAAGACAGTCATCTCAAATATTTAAAAAATAAGCAAACTTTTATTGTTTTTCTGTAAATAACTTTGATGATTTTTAGTAATTTTTATATAAAAACCAGATTTCCTCCTTTGGAAAATAATATCAAAACAAAAGATATCTGGTCCAATGGTAGGCTCTCTCAATGAAAAAAAATCATTAAAATCATGTTAGCACTGTTTCTCTTTTAGAACATGTTCCCATCCTTTTTTATCCTCTTAAGAATGAGAAGCATGTGTAATATGAAAAAAAGCCCCACAAACACTTGCTATGACACACACAAAAAATCAGCAATACATTATTAGGATGACAGAAATTATACAAAGCAGCAATTATAGAGAAAAGGCATTTGGAGATTTCTGTGGTAGCTAGGCTTTCTACCTTTTTAAAAAAAATGTTTTTACTGATTTCAGAGAAAGGAAGGGAAAGGATCAAGAGATAGAAACATGATGAGAATCACTGACCAGCTGCCCCCTACTGGGGACGGAGCCCACAACCCAGGCATGTGCCCTAATCACAGAATCAAACTGTGACCTCCAGGTTCATGGGCAGATGCTCAACCACTGAGCCATACTGGTCGGGCAGCTTTCCATCTTTTTGTGAACACACAGCTTATTAACTACAAGTTTTTAAGATGCAGGAAAAGACTAAAATATATATGGTAATTACATTGCTTGTCCCTTTATTCCCAAGTTTTGAACAATTACAAGGATTTTGGGGATAAACATAGATTCTGGGGTCCTGTTTGCCCTTATAGTTTAGTTCTAACAAGCTTTGCCATTAGGTGTGTAAAGGCAATACAACCCCAACATCCTGAACTTAAAGTTTTCTTCTAGTGAACACCTACCAGGGCATTGTATTAAATATCAGTCTACTGTGTAAAAACATAAAGTCAAAGTGAAACTTTATTCTTTAGAGCAGCGGTTCTCAACCTGTGGGTCGTGACCCCTTTGGCAGTTGAACGACCCTTTCACAGGGGTCGCCTAAGACCATCCTGCCCTCAGGGGCGGGAGGCAACCCGGCAATCAGGTGAAGGCGACGCCCCTATCACACCTCTGCTGCTGCCACTGCCGGCAGTGCAAGCCTTGGCCGGCCCTGGGCGGCTGGGCAGCTGCCATACAAGGCTTGCCTGCGCCTCAGGCTGGCTCTGGGCGGCTGAGGGTGGGTCTGGCTGTACCGTGCGCCTGCCACCTCCCCACCCCCACCAGTGGGGTTGAAAGGACTGGGGGACTCCGGTGAAGCTGAGGGATTGAGCACTGCCATCTTGTGGCTATGGGCACCACCAACTTTGTGATGGTGTGATGGTCAATTTACATATTTCTTTATTAGATAGGATAGAATAAAAAAGAGGTTAGATGTGTTATTTAGCCCATATATTTTAAAGAATTAAGATACTAAATTTTTGTAGGTAACTAAATTTAAGACGTTTTATCTTTCTCCCATCTTGCTTTTAATAATGTCCAATTAGTATTTACCTTTAAATCATTCAAATGAGATCACTGATAAAATGTAAATAATACAATATAATATAAATAATTTTATTTTTGGTGTGTCTCTAGCCATCGATTGATGGCCATTTTCAGAGTCCTATTTGGTGTAAGTACTGCCGAAGAAAGAACAAGATTTGTCATGGGACTTGTACGTTTCTTTTTGCTGATCCAGTTTTCCATTGCTTCCTTTTCATATGAATAGCCATCTAAAACAAAACAAATCACATACACAAATTATTTGCAATGTAGAAAAAGGAAGTTAGGATCACTAAAATGAGCTGCATATAAAAAACTCCATTGCCAAGGTCTTTGTTGGGATATATCACTACTGCCAAATATTTCTGCCACAGAACCCTAATTTCTACCATTTAAGATGCATTAAGATTGCACAAATCACACCCTGAACAGTGTCAGTATTTTACTTGATTCATTCTGAACACTACAACTGTCAAATTCAGATGTAGCGGAAAGGAAGAAAAGAGCCAGGCAGAGTATAGTGGTACTGAAGATACATAAGAACAGATACTGAGAGATTCTAAAACTCATCCCACTAAGTACTTGACAGTAAAGGTATGTATGATGCAAAAAGTATTTCAGATCCACTGGCCATTTGAGTTGATTTTTGTGTATGGGTACAGTAGTGGTCCAGTTTCAGTTTATGACATGTGGCTGTTTAGTTTTCCCAACACCATTTATTGAAGAGACTATCCTTTTCCTATTGTATGTTCCTGGTTCCTCTGTTATAAATTAATTGATTTTACATGTATGGTTTTATTTCTTGGCTTTCCATTCAGTTCTGTCTTTATGCCAATATCATACTGTTTTGATTACTATAGCTCTGCAATAGAGTTTGAGATCAGGAATTGTAATACCTCCAGCTGTGTTCTTCTTTCTCAAGATTACTTCAGGTATTTGGGGTCTTTCATAGTTCTCAAATTGTAGGATTGTTTGATTTCATTGAAAAATACCATTGGAATTTTGATAG